GGGGGGGGGGGGGAAGCTTAACTTTTGCACTTCCAACCACCATAATCCTTTCAATTTAGACCTACTGGCTATTAGGTTCAGCACCATCTAAAGTCTCATATGGAAGAAAACATGTCCACACAAGTTCTTTGATCTTTTGTAGGCGTGAAGAGCGAGGGAGTTGATACCCTCTTTTTCATGCAGTTGAGAAATGGAAGAATGGATAAGTCTGGGAAAATAAAGCATTAGAAAATGCTTCATTAGTATAGTTTGCTTAATAGAAGTGTAGAAACATTGCACAAGTTTTCTTGCTTATGTACAAAGAGAAGAAATACATACAAAAAGGAGTTCAACATGACAAACTGTAATCAGACAGAAGGACCTGATCTAAGTACCCTCTCTAGTTTTTCAGCTTTTGCATAGTCATTTTCTGTTAGAGGACCAGCAGGGAAAGGGGTGATCTCGACAGTAAGATGTGGCGTAGGGAGCTCATCAAACAACGCTCGCACATTGTTGCAACAGACACTTTCTCCATGAGCAGTCTCCCTCCTAATCTGACAACCCTGAAGGATAAATAAATACTTATTAGGAAATATCGAACAAAGATTTATGTAACTCAACACAAAAAATTTTGAACTTATCGTTACCTTGTGAGAAGTGGCATCTCTGAAGTGGTCATCGTCTGATAACAAGGAAGCGATGGCTTTGAGAAGGCGTCGCCCTTCAACTTTAGATGGTATCCTGTAATTTCGTCTAAGTGTTCCCTTAGTAGTGGGATGCCATTTGCTCACTAATTTCCTTCTGTCAGAAGCTTCCTTCTCTGGTAAACAAGAATGTCATTAAATTTTCCATTTACCCGAATCTGGCAGAAAATGTTCTGAGAATAACTGGTCAGAAGATAAGCAGCAACGACATTTACATATATGTAAATCATATGTAACTGAGAGTGAACAAATTTATCAATAGCAAGTGGCATTGTCAAAGTAACAACTTGTACAAGTAACATCATGTACGAAGAGAAAAATACATTTTTAACATGAATATATTAAGAACATTCAAATTCTCATTGTTGTTATTCCCTTCTCATTGATCCTCATTTTGTCCACTTCCAACTCCTTTCATCCAAAAGGAGGACAAAGGAGGTGAGAATCAGTGTCCTATGCAATGTAAGACTGCACAAAGAGCGTAGCCCTTTTTTTTTTTGTGCTATAGCTGTTGATGTTTATATGATCGATCATAGAAGAAAAGTTATTGTTCATTCCGCTTAATCTTTCTTCCTATTAATCTGGAAGTTCTTCTCAGATACAAAACCATGAGGCCATAAGAAAGCTCTTAGGGGTCATTTGGTTTGAAGACAAGATATGCTGCGTTTAGTTATGCTGAGATTAGTTATGCTAGGAATAGTTATAACTGGGATTGGCTATATTGGTATTATTTCTTATTGACTGTTTGGTATATTGTATGAATCCTGGGATTATCAATTTTAGTGCTTTGCTTGAGATTATTATTCCATCTTCTGGCAGGTGTAAGTTATCCCACTACTATTTTTAATCTTGGGATAACTATCCCGGGATTAGTAACCAAATAAGGGATAAGGTGGTACTAGAATTTTATCCTAGGATTATTTTTGCGTATCCATCATACCAAACGGCCCCTTAAGGATTTTAAGTTGATCTCGAGACGTAAAACCCCCATCAAAATATAGGTTATGTCCAACTACTATGTTGGTCATGTAAGTAATACTCCTATCAATTGCCACAAGTATTAAGAAGAAGAAAAAAAAAAAGAACCACTCTACTTGGCCAGTATTTTTCTAAAAGTAAGACTAGTGAAGAATTGTTGATCAGCATATCAATAGATCAACTCATACAATACAAAACTTCATTCCTAAAGCACAAATACAAACAAAAGTATATGTACCAAAGAACACTCAACAAACCTGGTTTGCTTTGTAACTCTTCAAACCATTTGGCAAAACCCAAATCAGCATTCCCATCAGTCTCCAAATCTACAACCAAAACACATCACAAGTCAAGCTAAAAGACTCAAAAACCACACTTCCTCAATAAACAAGAAAAAGGACGGCCCGGTGCATTAAACTCCCGCTATGCACGGGGTTCGAAGAAGGGCCGGACCACAAGGGTCTATTGTACACAGCTTTACAATGCATTTCTGCAAGAGGCTATTTCCACGGCTCGAACTCGTGACCTCCTGGTCACATGGCAGTAACTTTACCACTTCTGCCAAGGTTGCCCTTCTTCACCAATAAACAAAACCACCCCATTTCTGATTAACACACCACAAATCAAAATAAATGACTCAAAATCCATACTTCTCCACATAGAACAAACCAATGTTTTAAAAGGCGGGGGCGTGAGGCGAGGCGTTTTACCTTTGACGAGGCGAGGCGTAAGTCTCACGGATCTTTAAATTTTACTAATTTCAAGAATTTTAAGATAGTATTAAATAAAAAATAATATAAAAATTACATTAAAATTACAAAATTTTAACAAATAATATATTTAAAATATTAATAAATTATAATTCAACTATGAATAATACGAAAAGTATGACATATGTCAGAATATACAAATAGTTGCAATGTCGTTACAACTCAAACATCAAAAGTAATGTATTCGATACGAAATCTTATATGTATCTCTTAAGGAGTAATGAATCTTGAAAGAATTTCGATAATATAACTTGATATTTTTCTTAAAATACTCCTTTTTTTAATATGCTTTCTATTTGAAAGAGAATTTATATAATTAAAAACATAATTCATAATTTAAATATGATTCTCAAGCATCATTCATTTTTAAGTTTCAACAAGTTAATAAAGTGACACATAATTTACCATACAATACCATGATAATTAATTATTTGTACATAGTTACTAGCTAATACTGAGCTATTAAATTAATAAGTATTGTATCTCGTAAACGTGTAAAAAAAATTAGAAAAATAATTATAAAAAAATTATGGATTATTATATAGTAAAGACATAACAATAGTTAATAAATAAATACTTTTTAAATGAAAGATTTATTTAAAATTAACTATTATAGCAGTCTTAGTGGATAACGTGCAATAATTTTTATTTTAATTATGACAATACTCTCAACATAATAATTTATACTTAGGAAAAAAGTAATTTTGAGTAGTCAACGATTTATTAAGAAAATTTAAAAATATACAAGGTTAGTTACGTACAATTGCATAAAGTTCTATTAGGCGAGCCCAGTACGCTGGGCGTTGGCGTGTCCGGGGCGTAAGTCCCGATGGCCGAGGCGTAAGTCTCACGGAACTAAGCCCCACACATAAGCACAGGGGCGTTTTACGAGTGCTCCGCACCGGGGCGAGCCCCGGGTGAGCCCCAATTCTGCCTTTTAAAACGGAGGAACAAACAACCCCATTTCTCATTATCACACTACAAAAAGTACTGAAATATCATACTTTCTCATATAAAAGACAACCCCATTTCTCATTATCACACTGTAAATCAAGCTAAATACTCAAATATCATACTTTCCCATGTTAAAAAACAACCCCATTTCTCATTATCACTCTGTAAATCAAGCTAAATACTCAAAAACCACACTTCCCAAGTAAACAAAACAACCCCATTTTTTATTAACACACTACAAATCAAGCTAAATATCAGATATCATGATTTCCCATATAAAGAAACATCATTTCTCATTAACAATTTACAAATCAAGCTAAAGACCCAAAAAACATACTTCTCCACATAAAGCAAAATAACCCCATTTCTCATTATCACACTACAAATCAAGCTAAATGCTCAAAAATCACACTTCCCAAGTAAACAAAACAACCCCATGTCTTATTAACACACTACAAATCAAGCTAAATATCAGATATCATGCTTTTCCATATAAAAAACAACACCATTTCTCATTACCAATTTACAAATCAAGCTAAAGACTCAAAAAAACATACTTCTCCACATAAACCAAAATAACCCCATTTCTCATTATCACACTACAAATCAAACTAAATACACAAATATGAAATATCATACTTCTCCATATAATAAAACCAACCCCATTTGCCCATTCTTGATGCTTTTTATCTTAAGAAAAAGATACCTGAGACAAGTGGATTAGAAGGAGATCCAGCTAAGCCAGCTTTCAAGAGAGCATAAAAAACACAAACTCTACCAGCCCATATGACAGGAGCTTCAAGCAAAGTAGATTGAATGGTTGTTTTAGTTCTACCATTAGCAACACTAAGTGAGCTCCTTTTGTTACCAAAATAAAACTTGTAATCAAGATTAGGTAAAAAAGATTTGGGTAACAAAGGAGAAGTGAAAAAGGTGAGATTTTTGAAGAAAAGATTGTTTCTTGAAATGGGTTGAGATGAAAATGTGAAGGAATTGGTTGTGGTTTGTACAATCATTGCTTTTGATTGGATTTGGAAAGTGAAATAAAGTGAGAGACTGAAGATTTAGGAAGCTCTTTGTGATATTTATAGAGATATTGTAGTATATAAGAAGTAAATTAGAGATGGAACGGTGTCGTTTTGGATTATTCTTTTTAGCTGAGTAGATAGGTTGATATCTTTTTAAGGTGTGGAATGTGGATAAACATAAGGTTAATAATTTACGAATAAATCCAAAAATGAAGTCTGTAGTGGGTCCCATCCAAAGGCTTTGAATTTATTATTTCACAAAGGAAAATGATGTAATGCAAATATTTTAATTTTATGAACAAGGAAACAGATTTTAAAAGATGAGAAGACCATCCTTGTAGTCTTATTTTTTCAAATTTTTATACATTGAAGATCAAGAAATGAGAAAATGAAAATTGAACTACATTTATTATTATTTTGCTGTAATGATTTTGTTGATCAAGCAGGGAGCCTTAGTATAACTAATAAAGTTGTTGTTATGTGATCAGGAAATTACGGATTCAAGCTATAAAAACAACCTTTTGCAGAAATATAAGGTAAGTCTACGTACAATAGACCCCTATCGCCCTGATATATTTGTGCAAGATCTAAGCAACAATATTATTTTTAAAGGAGGTATTCACATGTCTGCTTTGATCGAGATTTTTGGGGATGATTCCGTACTACAATTCGGTAAAAAATTGGGAAAATTACCAGCTATGTCCATTTATAAGTAGCTCATTACAAAAATTGACCAATTGATAAAATATTACTAATATTAGCCAAATTAGCCAATTAGCTATTTGTAGCAAAAAAATATCAAATTTTTGCTTTGTTTTGAGTGGGTGTTATTAGAATAGATTGGGCACAACTTAAGGAGCTTGAATCTCATTTTTGGGATGATTTGGTGAAGTTTTGAGGTGGTTTGAATTGAAAATTCGAAGTAAAAGCTGAACATGAAAATAAATGATATGTTTATCACATATGTATCATATTTGTATCAATTGTGTATCACGTGTATATCCATGTATACCTGTGTGTGAGATACATGCGTGATACATGTTTGATACATGTGTCGCACAAGACTTTTTGATTTAATTAAGAATTTTGATACAAAACTAGTCCAAATCACCTCCAATCTTCCTCAAATTTTGTATATTGACTTATCAATATATTTTCAATGAATTTCAACTATACCCATTGAAAAAGTTCCTGTTTTGTTTAGATTTTTGGAATATTGTATAGATTCTTATATTTCATCACCTTATTTGCTACCCCAGCCATGAAATTTTCTTTCCGTCTTGTATCTAATGTTGTTAATCACGCTTAAAAATATGGAAGGTGATTTTTGCATGTGATTCTTTGATAGAAAGAACCCTATTATTTGGATTTTCAATTTTTGTTGGCTAGTTTTGGTAAGTCTATGACTAATGGCTAGAGGTTGGTAAGTTGAGATTTATATGGGACATTTGTGTAAGTTTCTCTGTAGGACAACCTTGGGGTAATGCGCCACGAGGAGCTCTAGAAACTCACCGAAACTACTAAACTTTAAGTATTGGTAGTATCTTCTAGTGTATGAAAAATATGGTTTAATTCAACTTATTTCCATTTTTTCTATGGATAAGATAACAACACAACACACCAATATGTAATCCCACGAGTAAAGTCTGGCGAGAGTAGTGAGTACAGAAATTTAATTCTGTTTTATCTGCTGCATTGAACACTAGATCACAGGTAAAGCACAAGCAGTTCTGGAATACAACATTCAACATCAATCAGTTCAACTAATACCTTTATCTCTGAGAGATTAAACATTTCAGCTCCCTTCACTTCATCAATGCAGTAAACAAAAAATGCCAAAAGGCAAGGTACCAAAGTCAGGCAAATGTACCTATACACAAGGGCATAATACATAAACATGCCCTCAAACTTGGCTTCAGCAGGCAAGCATGCCCTCCGACTTTACGGGTGCTTATGCACCTCAACTTGTATAAAGTTGAACACGTAAACACAAATGTTGACATGACACTGACGTGGCATATAAATTTTGGAGGTGTCTAGATGATCATTTTGTAAGTTGAAGTGTTCAACTAACAAAGTAGAGACAAGTTGAGGTGCCTACTTTTTGCGCACCCAAAGTTGGAGGGCATACTTATCCGCTAAGGCCAAGTTTGAGGGCCTTATAATGTATTATGCCATTATTATTCCCCTTTCTGATGGCTAAGTAATCACATTAAGTACACCACAAATGTACCCTGTTAATATCCTTTGTTTATACAAATATTTTGCTAAACTTTAAGAGCAAATGGGAACATATAGAAGCCTGCCAAAAGGAAAAAGGAAAGAACAAAAATGACATGCAGAAACCTGCCATCTCACTAAGCTACATAGTAATAATCCTTCAATACCATTAAAAAAAATCTCACTACATGATAAAGCTTTACACTGTTTGTAACAAAATACAACTGAAAGAAGACCTGCTAAATCAAGGATTTAAGAGAGAAAGAGATGTGGAGAAAAAATAAAGAGGACTACATAAAGAGAGACTAAGAGAAGAGATGTGGGGAAGCAAAAAAAAGACTATATAAAGAGATATTGAGTAAAGAGATGTGGAGAAAGAAAAAATGGGTGCACCCCGAAGGGGGGGAAAAAGAAAATTTAAAGGAAAAAAATAAAAGGTAGCACTTTCTTCTTCACAAGGGTATGAATTCTGCCCCTAGTAGGCTTCTCGAACGATACCCTCAGAGAACAGCAATAATGTACATGTTCAGCGAGCTGCAACTGACACAGTTTGGTCAGATTTTCACAAAACGAACATCGTTTTGTCCAAAAGCAGTTCCACAAGCAGGGCACTTGCGATGACGGATCTCTAAATTTCTCTGGATGCATGGATTGCAGAAGAGATGATAACATTTTGTGATTACAACCTGCAAATATGTAAAGGAACAGAATCAGGTTCAAAGCATTGTTAGCGCATAATAAATAATAACCGAACTCTATATCTACAAGAAGCCATTTCTAGATTTACAAAACCAATATGGCTTTTTGAATTTTATAAATATACAAGGTAGCTCTAAGTGCTTCTACGGGTCATTTATATACCAAATATTTACAAAAGAAACCCTGCCCCTCTGGTCAACCTTTACCCGAACACAGAGAAGGGAACTGAGTATCCTGAACTAGAATTTAAAAATATATGCTTGCACCAAAGTATTCAACCATATAAGACTACCCACTTCCGGAGCAAAAAGGAACGTGTACACACCTCTTTTGGCCGATCAAGACACACTCCACATTTGAGAATAGCCTTGCAATCATTGATTTCATCCTGCAGTCTTTGTACTGCAGCCTCGCCACTTGCAGAAGTCAACTCATCAACAGTTCTATTCAACTCCACTGCCTCTTCATCAAGCTTCTTTTTCTCACTCCTAGATTAGCAAAATTTTCATGAAATCTGAATAAAGAAAGAACTCATAGCAGATGCACAAACAGATTATTTTTCTTCATGAGCAAGAACATTCTATAAGATCAGAAATGCATGCAAATGCTAAATTTCAACACACAGCTGAATCCATAAGGCTTGACTAGACTATATTCAGGACCCAGTCCAAAAAGTCCTGTGCACAGAGCATTGACCATTAGACCAGTAATGCATGTTTTATCCATGCTCCAATTAGCTATAATTAACCTTAAGATGTACAACAGAAAGATAAAGCCAGGCAACCAGCAGATTGCTCATTAGCTCACATTCTACAGCAGACATTAGATTAGGGCAGCCCGGTGCATTAAGCTCCCGCTATGCCCGGGGTCCGGTGAAGGGCCGGACCACAAGGATCCATTGTATGCAGTCTTACCCTGCATTTCTGCAGGAGGTTGTTTCCACGGCTCGAATCCGTAACCTCTTGGTCACATGCCAGCAACTTTACCAGTTACGCCAAGGGTCTATTGTACAACAGACATTAGATTAAAGAACATTTATCCACATAAGGCTAAGTCATCTACATTCAACCTCAATTTTGTAAAATAGCAAACTAAACTACTAAGGGTTACAGTACACATGATTTTTTTTTTTTTTTTTTGGGGGGGGGGGGGGGG